CTTCCGATCTATCTATTGTTTTGTATTTTATCTAAATTTTATATTGATTAGATTTTTCTAATTCAATGCTTTTCTCATCCAACAACGTTAAATTTTTGTCGTATTTCATTTTTTACGAAGGTATACAATTGTACGAAAATGTACAGTGATAGCTGAGTTAATAGTATTTCTAGCAGAATCTTACAATTTCTTTGCTATTAACAAGTAGTCACTATCAGGATTCCAAACTCCACACTAGATATCCTTAGATATCCCCAGTTTCAACCAAGTTGCGCAACCATGTTCCCAGACTCTCTTACCGTCCCAATATGGAAGAACCTAGGAACGAGCAGAACGAGCTAGGTTGCTATCATTCTCGTACCCAGAGTCCTTCTTACGCGCGGTGCGACGAGGGGCTCTGGCCAAATCCACAACCGGATACCATAAGAACATGGTAAGAAAACGATATCCGGTGCTAGAACTAGCCAATCAGATGCCAGTTCGGATATGGATTTGGCCAGAGCCACTCGTCGCACCGCGCGTAAGAAGGGCTCTGAGTACAAGAATGGGTTGTTATTTTGTGAGACTCTCGTCGCCCCCATAATATTTTCAGTGGAACTCAAGTCTGGCATATAGACGTGCCTTGGAGAAAAAGGTAGGCAGAGTTATTAATCGATTAGTGTAAAGACTTTCAATCAGTAGAATGTACATTTCGATCAAAACAGACAAACACAGTGCGGGTGTATGTGACGAACAGAAATGTTCATCAATTTTTCTTCATTTCTTCAAAGTTCACGCATTAGTGATTTCAAATATTTTCGGTAAATGGTTTATTAAAACAATTGTACAAAAGTCGCAATTCAATGTAACCGAAATTGGAAAAAAAGTACATCAGAAGCAAAATTGCATTTTTTTTGTCTGTTTATGTTGTTGACAGGTGCTTTTGATAGCTTACGTTCCGGCACGATGTGAAGGCAAGGGGGGCGGATTTTCGTGAAAGGGCACTTTTGAATTGATATATACTAAGAGATGTTTGCAAAATATCGGGAGTTGAATTTCACCTAATCATGTTTTCTATTTATTGGATGATAGGGGTGTAAGGGGATTCTCCGCCAGGCGATTGTGCTATTCTTGAAGCTCGATGACTGCATTTCTTGCGTTTTCTGAAGCAAATTCGTAAAAGAATTGCACTAACATTTCTGACAATTCGTTATTTCGCCAAGGCAATCCTTTAAATTGAAAGGGCCCCTCCTGGTAAAGGGCAACGGGGGCGGCTGCCCCTCCTGCCCCCCCCCCCAGTTCCGGCGTCCCTGATCATGGTTGTATCGGACTTGTTGGAACAACCTTGCAACAGGTCTGATAATATCAACAAGGTTGTTACACGTTGTTATCAAACAGCTTGTTCCAAACTTGTTGACAACTTGGGACAAGCAGTGCGAACACAACTTGTTGACAGCTTGTTGGCAGACTTTCTACAAGATGTGAGATTTTTGCGTGTGGACAAGAAATACTTCTATGGTTTTGGCAAACAAAAGGCGGCCCTGACGCAGTGAGCTCTCTCTCTCTATATATATATATCTGGAGTAGGAACTTCTAATGTTTTGGCAATAGGCCAAGTGAAGCCAAAAAAA